GCGTGGGACCCATAGCGTTGGAATCACGCTCATGTTCTGGTTTTGCGGTGCTTTATATGCGTTTGCGGGCACTCATCTTCATATCGAATTTGGTCTAAATACACCGCGCCATGAATTCGAAGGAGAGGAACAAGGCATTCCACGAAGTGGAGGAGCTCTTAACTACGTGGGTAATGGATAAACAATATTGAAACTTCTAGCCCTGACCGAAATTAGCTTCAGTATGCCTTCCCTCAGCCTGCTTACCGACATAAAACGGTTGTCTTCTCCGCTTGCGTCTATGGTATCTCTTATATCATTCTTGGCAACGCTGCAGGAAATTGTCTTATCTTTGGCATTCGTATGCTAGAGGCAGCTGACGTTGAAGTCACTAATGGTAAAGCAAGAGGGATCGCTATCGCCGTTGCTTCCGCAGCCTGTTTTGTGCACGCGTTCTCCCGACGCGGCGGGATCTGGCTCAGCAACTTCTTCGCAATCATCAAAATTTTGATGTTGATTTTGATCATCGTTACTGGTATTATGGCCTATGCTGGTGGTGTCTTCCCTACAGAGGGCCGCTCGGTGAAAGACATCGCAGCTGATAACCTACCACCAAGTCGTTCTTTTGCTGATGCTGCTACTGATTCGTACGGTTATGCTCAGGCATTCTTAGCGGTGGTATTCGCGTATGCCGGTTTCGAACAACCTAACTCTGTCAGTACTTGCTCGTCCCTCCCTTTGTTTGAACGTAGCTAAACTATGATTTTAGGCTCTAGGGGAAATAGCCCGACCGCGACGAGCGTATCCATGGGCGACATCGATTGCAGTAGTACTTGTTAGTGTTCTATACATGGCTGTCAATCTTGTATATGTACGTACAGTATTTCTCAGACCTCACTCTGGAAGATCTTGAAACTGAATTGTTGACACAGATGGTTGTTGTACCACGCGAAATTCAAATCGATTCTGCGCAGAATATAGCGACCGTCTTCTTTCAAAACACTTATGGAACACTGGGGAGCAAAGATAACAAGGCACAGCGAATTCTGGCGGCGTTCATGGCGATATCCAGCCTAGGAAATATCATCACGTTCACTTTTACGGCATCGCGTATAAAGCAAGAGATTGCAAAAGAGGGCGCTATTCCTTGGGCAAAACTCTTTGGTCAGAGTACCGATGTTTCGGTTGGGCGGTTTCTGACTTGGTGCCGCAAGACTGAGTTGATTGGGCGGCCTTTCCATTCCATCCTCAAACGGAAAATACTCGACCCTGTCGAACACTCGCAACCGACACCCGTCGGTGCACTCTTTCTTCACTGGGTGTTCACCGTGGTATTGATCATTGCAACCATCAAGCAGACTCCGACCGATGCATACGGTATTTTGGTTTCCTTGTACTCGTATGCCATCGTCGCATTTTTTGGAGTCGGCCTAGCGGTTGGTATGCTCTACCTTCGATTCTCTCCTAGTGAGGGCTGGCGCCAGAAATCCAGGGGGTTTCTTCCCCTTCTATCAATTCTCTCATCAATTGTTTTCGGTCTTGGCTCCCTTTTCCCTATCATCGCACTTTGGGTTCCGCCAACGGGTACCTATGCGCGAACTACAGTTGCACGTATAGCTTGGTATGTCACACCGGCTGTATCTTGGAGTGTGGTGGGCTTCGGGGCCTTCTGGTGGGTTATCTTCTGCTTGAACGCCAAGAGAAAGGAGCGCAAAGAGATGAAGGTATTTGTCGTAGAGAAGTTTCCTGACTTTGAAAGAGAAGAGGAGAAGGATGGACGTAAAGGAGATGTGGTTCAGGTTCATGAGATAGTGTGTTTACGTTGGATTGGAAAGGAGGTTTTGCCTGAATATGAAATGAGAGGTATGGAAAGGAATAGCAACAGTTGGTAAAGGCTGGACGGCGAAGAGGAGGAAAATTAGGAACAATCTGGTACTGTACGTCCGATGCTGTGGGGTAGGTGCTGCGTTGTTCCGTATAGTTTTGAATACTTTTGCTCACTTACTTCCTATGAGATTGATATATGTTTACATGATTGCTCTGCTTTTGTGCATCCAGTCACCCCTTTTTCGGTTTCGTCTTTGTGGCTAGCTTCGAGCCATTCACATCAGACCTCTTCGGTGTCAGCAATCGTTCTGCCTGGTGTTTTCCATAGTGCAAGTGCTTTCGTAGGACTTCAGCCATACCGTAGGACTATACAGAGTCAGAGGGTACCTCCGTATGAGTTGTAAAGATGAGTGATGTGAGGTTTGGAAGGATCAATAAATAGGGCTCTTGGCATGACGATCCAAGACGCCACAATAGCCAGCCATGTGCATCATTTTGCTGGTTTCGCTTCCCAGCTCAATCTCTCCCTTTCCAACTTTATGCTCCGATTGATTATCGATAAGGTAACCTCGATAATAATATAGGTAGGAATGTCCTACTTTCACATTTTCCCTACTTATCTTCACGATATGCTGTTACATTCGTTGTTCACCTCTATTATACTATTCATTCAGGATAGTGGCTCGCTTTCCACGTACACTATATAGATCAATTTCTTCCTTAATTCGTCCCTCATTCCTTTTTCGTTGTCTTAGGCTTCATACCGCGCTGCTCATTTAGTACACCGATTAGATTTTTCACATGGATCGCTTCAAAAATGCTATCAACAATGTCTATCCCCGGAAACACGACAAAGCAGTCCAGTCAGGTCCAGAGAGTGCATCTGTTCCTCTTCCCAGACCTGCGGTAACACGGGATACATTTGGAAAACCACCAACATCGCCGCATAACCTAGACAAGCCTCTCCCAATCCCACCACGACGTATGTTTGAACCCGATGAGTTTGCACCTGATTCCTCTCGTCTATTCATACCAAGTATTTCTCTTCGACGATCTACTGGAAATAGGTCTGGACAGAGCGGGAAGGATATTGAAAGACATGACTATGGTGGAGTCCCTCAGCCTTCTCTGTCGTCCCATACAGCGATGGAAACACAGAATAGGGGAACCGGGAACTTACTGGAGAGGGCACGAGACGTTTTGAGAGATTGGAAATCAGACGGGGACAAGAATACAAAACCCCCATACCCCCCAAATGATCTCATCTGGAAGCAGTACGATGATGACATGGTCGATGTCTTAGATACTATAGGTCAGATTCACATAGTTCCAATTGGTAGGATTATATCTAATATTGGAAATGATAGATCCGGAAGTTCAAACTCTGACGTCGTTAACAAACATGCAAAATTCTCTCTTTATACCGAACCTAGGTAAATACGTCAATAGGAGGCCGACATATTTTCTTTCAAGCTTGGGGAAGGAAGTCGCTCAGAAAGTCGCTCAAAAAGTCAAGTCCGATAGCGAGGATGAGCGAACACAAGAAGAAGTTCCACCCAAACTACCAACACGGCCGGAACCGATGCGCCGTGGACCGACCCTAGCTACCATTGACTCAAGACTAAGTGATTCCCGTTATGCCGTCCTGCCACAAGGCGCTTCTCTTGCAGGCTGGAGCCATGAAGACCGTCTTGAGCTTAATGATCATGTCAGACACATGTTACACTCCAGGAGATCCAAGTTCAAGCGTTCGATGAAAGGGTTTTGGCAGTATGTCCAAAGACGTAAGTTATGGTATATTACACATTCGGAAGAGGATTCACTAAGGGACCGTAATAGCACTTGGATTTCTTGTGACCCTGTACGCAACGTTGATTACCTTATTCGGTCTTGCATGGGTTCTGTTTTTGATTGGTGAGTTACAACCTCCTTTATTTTTAGTATAGCATTCTGACTGACCTTCTGTAGGCTGGATTAATGTTGGAGGTAAACAGATATACGTTGTTCACGTCATTGACTCCGTCTTGGTTGCGCTATTCGCTGTTGTCGGTGACGGCCTTGCTCCTTTTAGGGCTGTCGACACTTATCACATGATATATATCGCCCATTATCATCACCTAACCTGGAAAATCCGCAAGGAGCGTCAACTGCCTGAACTCCAAGATCATAACGATCTCCCGACAGAGCTGCCGCCACCACGAATGCGAAAGATTCGTCAAGGACGATTCGCTACTACAATGGATAAAATGGGAAAGAGATTCCGTTTTAAGAAAATTTACCCAAACGAAAAAGATTTGGAAAAACAAAGAGAGTATAGTGTATTGAACGCAGTACAGCAGCAAAAATTCAATCATCATGCCGGTAAATTCGCAAAGTCTCACACGTTCTATAAACCGCATGAGACGGAAACTCACTACGCTTTCCCGCTGCGTCTCCTCGTTGCTGTTGTCGTTCTTTTAGATTGCCATTCGCTCTTGCAAATATCTCTTGGTGCGGTTACATGGGGAATTGACTACCGGGTCCGCCCCTTTGCACTCACTACCGTCATTCTGTGCTGTAGCATTACCTGCAACGCTACTGCCGGCTTGCTGATCTGGATTGGAGATAAGAAGACTAGAAAGCATGATGTTCTTGAGAGGATGAATAGACAGGAGCTCACGCAGGAAGCAATTGAGAAGATGCAAAAGAAGTGGGAGAAGGATCAGGAAGAGGAGAGGGAGATGAAGGAAGAGAAACATAGTGACATGGATAATGGAAGGAGTATGGACAAACGGCAGAGCTTGAATAGTTCCAAGGTTACAACGACTCCGATGAGTAAGAAGAAAAAGTCGAATATTTTACCGTTGTTTGATGGCACTTAGATGGAACGCTTTGAACAGTTTTTCTAGTCTTGTATCTGTATAGCGCATTTCACTTTAGCATGGTAAGGAGTTAATAGTAAATAGATGATTTAAAGAAATAAAGCATTAAAGGAATAATATCAAACTATACTCAACCCTCTATACTACATTTTCAAGTTCACTACTCCGTATGGCTACCTCCTCGAGTGTTCAAGGAGTCCTCGACAGCTGTTTCGGTTTTAAAAAAAAAATTGAAAATTACAGCCCCGCACCACCCATCCACTTTGACTCATTCAAAAAGTAAGGAAAGGGTTGCTGTATTAGGAGCCTGGGAGATGTCGAGGCAGCAAAAATAGGTCGTGCTGAGGATCGAACTCAGGTTACTGGAAAATCCAGACTTTTTAACATCAGAATCCAGGGTGCTACCGCTACACCACACAACCTATGATGGTCAGGGTTATTTATATAGTAAATATTTATGAATTTAACAAACCATATGGGGTATTTTCCCGAGGCCGATGGTGGAGGCAAAATTTTCGAGCTAGTGACGGAATGGATGTTTTTATTGGATGATTAACGCAACCCCGAAGGGATTCATCTTTCCTTGCTTTCACACCATTTGCCTCTTTCAAAACATCTATCACCGTTACTGGTGAGAATGGCCTACAGATTGATAGGATTACGTCTCCTCGATGTGAGGCCGAGTACAGTACGTGCGAAATACTCTAATAGCGGAGCCGTTAACCACGTAAACAACCATTGCCGAACCCTGAAGGAAAGTCTCTAGAACCTCCATCCAGCCGGGTTTACAGTTTCGATCTACGATAGATAGAACCATAGAAGCTTCGGTACGTTCCGAACACCGATCATAGGATAAATACGACGTCCTTCCATGTCATCCGTATTAGTCCATGGCCCTTATTATGCGTAAAAGCTGCGATAAATGGTAAGGCTCTGCATCTGCTTGAGATTACAGATACAGCGTTTAGTATTTTCAAGAACTGTATTCACTCAAGGAGTCTAGTATCAAACCATAAGTCTAATGCACTTCGTTTGGCAGGTTATGGAATCATATGGGGACATCTCTTCAGAGTACTTCACGAGTCAAACGATCTTAAGAACATAGTGTCAATCATTTTCGCACACGTTTCTCATTATATTCTTTATCTTATGGTGTAATTCAACATATCATTCATGATAGAACCCTCCGTCCTTCCACTATGCTGGTCGCAATATTCCCAAAGGATCAGGATTGATGAGAAAAGCGGTAATCGAACATCCCCTAACCGGACCAGACCTTGGGTCCCGGCATGACGTAAGAGTTGGGCTTAGGGTTATTCCACTTATCAAACTTGATTCCGGGGTCATTAGCGGAGTAGATGCCAGGAATCTTTACGAGCGGACTTGGGTTCCCCCCACCGCTGCCCGAGATCTTCAGTTGTGCACACTCCATGTAAAACTGAGCTCTGCCCTTGAAGGCTTCGTGTAGACCAATGTGTTCTACGCGGACGAGATATTCCCCTGGTGGGACCGTTTTGGGGATTGTGAATTCTAGGCGATCCTTCTGCCACGAGCACCAGCTTCCATCTTGACCGGGAGAGTTGGCGTTGCAAAGACCAGTCTCATACACCTTGAACCAGTCGCCAGAACCATCGTAGGTGCTGACAGCACCTGGCGCCTTCGACATGTAAACAAACCCTGGGCCTGGGTGCTCGATGAATTCGTTATAGTCGAGCTTGAATCCGATTTTATCCCCAGCATTCACGCTATACGTCTGGGTAGAGCCTCCTGGTCTGGCGCCTTTGTTGCATCGAAGGTCTGGAGAGTTGACTATCTCATCGGTAAAGGATGGCATGTAGGTGTTGCTGTTCTTTCGAATGTAAGTATACTCGCCACCTACTGCCTTGCCATTAACGATCAGATGAGAGAAGATGTAGTGGCCCTCTGCGAGCGATGCAGCCAATAGGGCGAGAAGAGAAGAAGAGAACTTCATTCTGTCGAAAGTCAACGGAGACTAGCTAGAGAAAGACACTAAAGAATGAATGACCCGCGGATGAAGGTTAAAAGCCAACAAACAGCTAGAGACGTCTTTAGTATTTATACATCTCTTTTAGTCAATTCTACCTGCTACTTTTGTCAGCCGTGTGTCCGTTGTGTCCAAATTGAGTTATCCTAGTGTCTCCGCTTTCATATATTCTTAATATCACATCCAGGTCTCTCAAAACTCATATAGAAGCGTGTCCAGTTGCTCACTGCTCTTCGAATTTGCATTATCTCTTCTACTGCCAAGATCTGGGGTGCATTGAATTCCTCAAGGATGTTCCTCCTCCTATAGTTTGCCAAGATCTGGGGTTAATTTAACCGTTATATATGTGAACTCCAGAATCTCTCAGAAAACAAGGCTCCCAACCATTCAAAGCACTTTTGACACTAGAAACCGTTACGGTTATAGTTACTATTGGTGGGAATTCCACCTCTTAGTATGCATTTTCAAATTCTGAATTCTTGGCTGATTGTTTATGAAACGGGCCTTGAAATACGTGGAGGGATTCATCGTTCTGTTTTTGGGAAACAGACGCCACTCTGCAACTTTGACGATGGCTTGGCAACGCATTCTTTGATTAATAGAAGCTTGTGCTAACCTTTTGCTAACGTCGTATGAATTGCCGGTACTTGCTCGGTATACGGCAATGATGGCATCGATGCTATTCTAATGGTATCATTGTGCTTTTTCTGATAATATAGTCTCCCTACTCTTAACAGTCCTCATCCACTTATGTTATTGATTCTTTATTCTACAACAAGGAAGTAACAAGCTATGAGTAATAGCGTATTGTACTTGTTGCTACCAAGGCGCCTCAGGAGTGGTGAACCTTTGCTCTCAGGGCGCATTGATCTCTTTGCAGTACTCATGATCTATCCAGTTACTGTGAGTTCACAAGTCAACAGAGAGAGCTTACTACACTGGAAGCGCGTATGAAAGAGCCCTATGCGCTTTGTTTCTCGAAAGGCCAAGACTTACCCTAATGTCCGAAAGATAGCATAAGCTCACACATGATCTGATGAATTACTTTTATAGATTGACTACCGCTTTCGATAACTCGGCAAAGCATTTATGTTATTGCTTGTATCGACAGTTCCAAGCTGGGATTATATGGGAGTAATAGACAGCGTTTGATAAGAGTTTACACTTCTCAATGATCTATTTAGGACGGATCTGCGGCAATGTTGTGCTATGAGATGGATGTTAAGAATACTTTGGTGTCGGACAAGCGGGAGGATATCTCAGTCTCAGGGGTGAAGAATGGGGCGTTATCAAACCAAGGACAATATTTTCGCCATTTTCAATGTTTGAAGTACCACCTACCTAATCTTGGTCATTAGACGAACTTCTCGCAGAAGAAATCGCTTTAATCTCAGTTTTGATCAGTGATGGCCGGACGAATGGTAAAAGAAATATATTTACGTGGTGGATTTGTTTACGCAATAGGGGGAGGAACCCATACGCACGAATCTTTACTCTCCTCTCTTTAAGAACAATGAATTTTACATGCTAGTCTGATTCAAGACTTCGTGTGAAAAGAGCGTTTTCTTCCTTCTACCAACTAAGGATCCGTCTTCGAACTGTCCTAGATCAACGCTTGGTGGATAAAGCAGACAATTTCTTCCGTTGAATGTGAGTAGTATCTTTAGGTCAGTCGTTCCGTCTAACCATCGACAAACGTTATAAGAAGCTATCCCAGTTGTCTACCTTAATAATGCCCTGACGTCCGCTTCTCAAACGAATATCCTTGGTACATTGTTGGTACAGAGGATGCTGTTAAATCTCCAAGGAAAATGTCTTCGCTTTAACGGTAGGCCGTTGCTGACGTTTTTCTAGTTATTCCACACTAATGACCGTCTTCAAAAGTGACGCGAGACAAGTATCATGCCATCAGCCACAGTATAATGTCATCTTACAAAGACAAGGATGGTCTGGGAGAGTCTGAAGTAAACGGCTCAATCCTTAAAACTCTCTCAAGTCAACCGTACTGTGAGTCTGTAAGTCTTGAGCCGAAGGTGGTTTGCGAACGCACATTGGTGTTTCTGGACCTGCTTCAATATCTTGTCTCTAATCTTGCCTCTTCTACGAGTAGGCGCAGGTCGCATCATCCTCATGTTCGCCCATTGCGTGCATCAATACATACTAGAATAGATGGTGCTCTATGTACTCTATTTGCTCTATCAGATCAGATTCAAATACAGTTCCTATCTTTGTAAAAAGCTCTGCTTTCGTCATATTTTGACTGCCCCGCACCTGAGACTTGGAAGGCAAACAAGAGCGGGCAAAAACCAACGGGCGTGTTTGTTGGGGACGATGGGTTGATGATGCATATCTGCAAAGATTACGGATTTGTTCCTGCGTCGGCTCACCGTCTTCTTGAATGTAAACCACAACCACCCAAGGAGTCAAAATGCAGTGCCAAAAAAAAAAAAAAAAGGTAAAGTACAATAATGAAAAAAAAACTTAAAAATTGAAAACAGTTCCCCCGCGCCGAAGCGGAAGCACATCTGCCCTTACCCCGTTGGGGAGGCTCAAACCCGGGGCCTCGGGGTTATACATTTAAAGGATGGGACATAAGTACGTTACTACTCGGTTATGGCCCCGAGGTGATGAATGTTCAAGCAAGTGATGCTTATAAGGTGCAAACGTGCGGCAGACACGTGGGTGCGGGATGATACCTATACGGCTTCCAACCAAGAGCTCTGGAATTATGAGTTTGAAGATCGATTTCTCAGGAGGATAAAAGCTTCTATCTCTCTCTACATCCCCTTGAGAAGGCTGGAAGTTTGTATATAAGAACTACTCCCAATCCCTAATGCGTCCGTAAAGATAGCGATCCACCCCTCTCCGTACAACTAGCGTCAGAGTTCTACATGAGGATACTGGCAAAGCAATCCTCAGCGATTGATCCGCATAGCCTGGAGCACAGGGTAAAAATTACAACGTGGAGAGACCATAGAGATCACTAAGACGCTTGGTTCTGCATACGTCGTTCATGATTTGGAAGCCGTCTTATTCGACTCAGCCTTTAAGTCGAGGTGATCGGGGAACCGGTTGTAGTGGACACGGATGCGGTTGGCGGCGTCACCCCGTTGGTATTCGTGGTAGAGACTAAATTTTTGGCCTTTGATAATCGACACATTATCACCCTATCTAGTAATTGTATTTGAAACTACTTAACTAGCTCATGCGCTACGGTCTGGACTTTCCGCATCAGCTGTCTTACGAGCAAACACTGCGCCTTCAAAAATGTCCCGGTCCCATTTAAGGAAGTAAATTTCCAGTCAGTCCTGTTCTAGAGACAGCCAGTGGGACTGGCATCATCGTCACCGAAAAATATATGAACAACCTTGTTTAAAATGCTAGGAGCGCGGTTCCATCCTCCATGTAAACTGTTTT